GTAGGGAAAAACAACTGTCCAGCAAAGTTTGAATAGAAATTTTCTGTATGATTACAAAAAAATAAGTTGGCAAATGTTAAGTTGTGGCTTCTTAATTCCAGGGATTTAAATAGTCTTGTCTCCAAAAAGTGTTCTGCAGCCTTTTCTTTTGTGTTTGTGTAGGGGAAGAGAGATCTGTGTAGCAGACCAGGAAAAACAAACTTCAAAAAGCCTTGGAAAAAATCAAAGTATTACTTAAAACAATACCTGTATTTATTTTTATATAAATGAAATGTATTAGAGCTGCTTCTTGTGTTTACCACTGTCTTAACAAATTCACATTAGCTGCTTGTGATGTGTTGTCTAACCTGCCTCCATCTAAATTTTAAGGGGTTTGTAGCAGCCCTTACGACCTGAAGGAAGGGATGAGGGCAGAAGGCTGGAGCGGAGGGGGCTGTGGTGCCAGCACTGCGACCATGCCTTGGCACAGCACGTAACGCCGTTTATCTACACAGCTGCCCTGCACAGCTGAGCGCCCTGCTCAGGTCGGACGAAATAGGTGGAGAAGGAAGCGTGTTGCTTGTAAGGAGTCAAATTTTCACGGAGATCTTTTGACTGTAGAGTTGGACTTTGAAGCTAAAGCGACATAGTAGTATTTGAAATGCAAAAGGCAGGAAGGTGCTGGGAATGAAGTTGTGCTGATCTAAGAAGTGAAGTTCACAGAAGGGTATGTGACAAATTAGGTCTGGTGTACGTGTCTTCAAGCTTAGGGTTAATCTTATTGATTGCAGTGGGTTTTGAATCGTCTGCTTTGTCTTTCTTTTTTTTCTTCCCTTTTTTTCATGCTATGCTCTGCTTTTTCTCATTCCTGGCCAAGCGAGTTGAGTGCAGGCCTTCGCTCCTCCTAAGGTGCGGCTCACACGCAGCTCTGTTGGCATCCCGGCGAAAGCAGGCTGAAGTAAAGCCTGCACCAAGGCATTTGTCCCTTGTCTGAACGGCAGCACCCGTCTGCCACCCTTGGCAACCAGTAGTCAGAAAGGCCAGTGAATCAATCACAGGGGGTTTCCCTTAGAGCCTGCTCTCCAGTTTGCTCTTTGCATGGAGTCACTGGTTTCCAGACAAAGCGCTGGCTTGTGCCTACTGACCCTCTTCTCGTTTCCCACTGGAGGGTGCTGGCTTGCAAAAGCTCGGTTTTGGTGGTGAGTGAGCGTGAGTGGTTGGAGAACAGACTCGTACTGCCGTTGTTCCAACAGCTCAGCCTTAGCCTTGCTTTAACGGCTGGAAACGGGGTACATTTGGATGGAATAGCTAAGTTCAGCTCTTTCCGTGCTTCACTGACATGATCTCTTTTTTATTCCCTATGCCTATGAATCAATAGGTCCATAACAAAATACCCTCTTAATGGCACATTTCTTATTTGGGTATAAACTAGGAGAAAACAAATGCTGAAAAATACGCTAAAAGGGAAATTAAAAAGATGAGCACTGAATCTTGCTTAAAGACGACACAATCGTTACAGAGGCAGAGATTCCATGCAAATGCGGTCCTTAAGCTTTCTTAAAAAACAACATCAAAGCCGTAATCAATGTGCTGGCTTTTGTTCTATGCACTAGGTGTTCCGGCACGGTAACGACGCGATCACGTGAGCCTCGGCTACAACAGATATTGTCCAGCCTGGGTAGCTCAGTGATTTCAGCTGGAATCGCCTTAACTAAAAATATAGTTGATCTGAGCTTGTAATAATTGCACGAAAATGAAACTTTATCTATTTCTGCCCTGGTGAAGGAATAAACAAAACTTACGCATGCTATGCATCACCACCCTCTAGATCCTGTTTGGGTACAGACAGACGTGGCTCACCTGAGGACTAGAAATAATCAGCCTGCCTTCCCAGTGAGAAATCACAGCACTCACCTCGCTGAGCATCACGGGTACCAGCACTAAGAAAGGCAGCTGCTCGCTTGGCTTCATGTAACAGCTTCCCAACATACCCTTGGTTTGCCTAGAGTCTTTCCTTCTGCACTCTGGGTTTCATGGTCTCCTAGGAAAGCACCCAGGGCAGGGTGCTCTAAGGATTTTAGCCTCCCCGGACCTGTCCCAAAATGTCTCTGTTTGTGCAGTGATCTGATCCCATGCAAATTAAATACATGTTCATAAGCACGGCTTAACTTGCATATAGTTTAATCAGATGTAAAAACTGAATGTGCTATATGAATTTCAACTTTGTCTATGAAAAGGAAAAATAGATGTAAGGACTCAATATTCCCCAAAATAACCTAAAGCAAATCCCTAGAACTGCCATCCAAGGCAGCGTACCGTGCTACTGGTCCTTGGTCTAGGTAAGGGGAAATGAAAGAATTGATCCAGCATAGCAAGAAGACCCACAAACCCAGAGACGGGAATGGCTCATCGAGGGCTAGCTATGCGAGAAGAGGCAGGGAAATATTAGAATGTAAAGAGTTAAGCTATGGTAAAACATACTTTTGCTACACTAAAGAAGACTGGTTGATAATTACTGTAGTTTTAGGGCTATTTGAATCAGTGCAGCTGCAACCTCTTCAGTAGTAACCCCTGAAACAAGACAAACTGGGTTTATTGTACTGAACAAGTCTTAAAGCTCCTCCCTGATTGTTAGTAATTGGCAGCAATGGACTTAACAGCCTCTTGACTACCCTTTTTACACTCTACCTGACTGTGCAGCTAACAATTTAAATCACAGATGCCGATCCTTCTTTGTGGCAGCTGCTTGTTAACTACACGTTCCTCTTTTTCTGTCACTGGCTGCTTCCATAACCCTGCAACACCAGGGTTAGATTGGAGAATCACATTTCATCAATATTTAAAATGGAATTAAACCTTGAAGTTTGATTAATGCTACCAGATAGTGAGTTGTAATTACTATTTTGCAAATTGCAATTGTTTGAATATGTTAATATGATTGTCTAAGCACATCTTCACCTTCAGAAGTAATTTTCCCTTTAAAAAAGATTTGAAAAAAATACAAACTCTTTAATCAGTGGTAAATTATCACCCTGTGCACAATTAGGTAGTATGGGGTTCTTCATGTGTGCTGAATTTTGTGTCAGTGTATTTATCTTTAAAAGTTTATCCATTTTTTTAGATTTTCCTCAGTAGAATAAACATTCATGGAACAGACTTTGCTGAAACAGGACTAACCGTGTCGATATTTGAAGGTAAAGAAAAAAAGCTTTGTCTGAAAATTTTATTGCCATCTGGTGTATCCCTCTTCAGTTAGTAAATGTTAACAAGTTATTTCTTCCAAAGTTAGTGAAATATAATGACTATTATCATGACATACCATTGAAATCCTGAAATGGAGAGAGATAGTGAGAGATCTTAATGGATGAGCTGTTAGAATATATGTAAGTATGGGCTGATTTTTTTAAGTTATTTTCTTGCACCTCAATCAAAAATAAGACCAGTTTTCTAGCGCCCACAAAAAATATTTTGAATATCGTGGGTCAGATCCTCAGCCAGCCCAAACTGGGGTAGCTTCTCTTTTATTTTTGTAATTAATTCAGGCTGTTTTCATTAAGCAGGCAGAGGCATACGGAGCCAGCCCTGGTAGCCACCTGCACGACTGATCCCCAGAAACAGCATCTGCCCACAGCAGATGATTAACCAGGGCTGCAAGTCCTACTGATCCCCTGTTGGACACTGCCTACACAGTCAACAGGTCAGTTTGGATAGAGTCTTTTTAGGCGAATAAGACCCAACTAAATCTGTTGGTCACACCGTGTTCCTGTAAGTAGCCCGTTTCAAAATTAGTTCTTCTCAACAAATACTGCTTTGCAAGTTTCTTCCTCGTTTTGGGTGGCTTTAGGGGAGGCTCCAAATGCCAGCAAAGTCCAAAGAGGTGTCTGTCAAAAATGCTGTCAGGTGTGTTCCACGGTGAGCGCAAACTGCAGCCCGCTTACATCAGTGGATTTCTGCTCAGCATCTCTGCAAACTGAAACCACTTGTCTAATTTTCAATGTTCAGTCTAAAAGTAGTGGCAGAAGAGACTTCCCCAACTACACGCTCCAGATTTATCTCTCAACTGGGATTAGAAACAGCTGAAAATACAGGGTGGGCTTGCTTCAGGGTGCTTCCAAGGGATGACTTGAAAATACACTGTAATTTAGGTGCATTTAATCTTTCCATATTAAATGCATATTGCAAAGTTTAGAATTGTTTGCTTCTAGCTATCGCGTTTCTGTGTTGCTTACGGAAACCTCAGCTGTGAGGGACTTCTTAGGACTCTGCATGCTTAGGTGTCTGCCGCGATGCAGAGCGGAGACTGTCAGCAAACAGCAGTATTGTCGTGTAGGCTTCCAGATTTGCCCTCTTAACTAATGCTTTCCCAGGAAACCACCTAGAGGCGCGCA